GCAGGAAAGGCAATAGTAATTAACTTGTACCATGCCCTGCAATTTACATGTTAAAGTTTACGGTGATTCTGTCACAAGGCCATAACAAGCACCATTTTACAAGGGAAACTTGATAATTGAGGGATTGTTTTGCTCACGGTTTGCTGCAAAACCTGGGCAAAGCTTTTACTCAGGCTCTCTCCTGCCCTGTCCCGGCGCACTGCCATTGACTCCAGCATGGTTCGGTCTGATTTGCATCAGGGTGAGAACAAAATCCATCAGTGTGGCTGCAGGGGAGCTGACAGCACATCAATTTGCCTTGCTGCCTCCTCGGTGACAGCCTGCAAGCATAACTAAACCCAGTCACACGTATATTAACATATCCTGACGTTTAATACAGAATAAAATACACCTTTAGAGGTGGTGGCTGCTTGAGCCAGGGCTTCACATATATGCTTTTCAGGGAGGGAACACATGGCTTTTTGTCTCAAATACTGTTAAATTTAATGGGTGAACACCCCTCTCCTTACTGCCCTTGCATGTCTCCTCCCTGTGCTCCTCCGCGTCCCTCCCTGCCCTTTGCCCGCCCCGTCTGCAGCATTCAGCTCCTCTAACGTTAATATGCGAAACGGCGTTCTGTAAACTCCTGCAAACAAAACTATGCAAAGGATGAAAAATAATTAGCTGTGTCTCCGTGTCTAATATATTTGCATTGTTTAGACAGAGCAGTTAATCACGGGTAAGACCACAACATGTTGTGTGAATTTGGATTACAACGAATACATGTTGAGCAGAAGGTTATTAATTACATTTAAAGAGAGTATTTGATATTGTTATTATTGAGAAACTGAATGCTATTAATTATACTGCAATGCTCTGGCAGGATTCCTGTGGCAATACTGCACAAAGAGCCATTTACTTTTAGACTCTGTTGTTCAGAAAGAAGGTACTTAGGGTAGGCAAAGGGGACCACGAGCCAAAGTCCTGTTCCCATTGACACTCCCAAAGTGCTGAGTGGTGTTGAAGGGGTAGCAAGGGTCCGCATTTTTTAACGGTTTTTAAATAGAGGGTAAACTTTTCATTTGCTTAAAATAGTTGTTCTCCTGAAATGTCACTTATTCCCTTGGGTTGGGACTTGGCAAAGGACAATCTCCAGTTGGTCTCCACTGCTCGGCCCAAATCCCCAGAAAGGACATCTGGGGGATACAATCAGATCCCAGATTTAATTAGAGGTGCAGTAGCTCCAAGTGTTTCCTCTGTAAAATGGCTCTTACCTGTAGAAAATAAAAGCTTAGGGCACTCCTTTTTTATTTAAAAAGGCAATTATATTAATTCAGATGAATTTTGCATTGGAATCTCACTATTGCTTTGACAGTTTCGTTCCCTGAAAATTGCAATAAAGGCTCCGTTACGCTACGTTTTGTCCCCATTTGTCTTGTATACCATTGCCTTGCCTTTGGCATAATAAAAATAATCTTTAAAAATAGTACCATAAATGGATTGACTTTGACCTTCTGAGTATGCTGTCAATAAAATAAAAATGATAAATCTGTTTCAGAGTGCCACAGGCATAATAGTAAAGCAGAGTTATAATCTGAAAAGTGAAATGTGAGAAATGATATTATGGGGAGGGGTCTTATTCTCTGTCACCAGTGTCACATACAGGTTCTCTATTTACAGTGCAAAGAGGTGATTTTGCTAACTGCCAGGCTCAGTCCCGAAACCAGGTTGTGCAATTTGTGCGATGTGCTCTCTGCCTCTTACATAATCATTAGCAATTAAAGATTACTGCTGCAAGAAATTAGCTGAGCCTTCTATTGCCGATGCTTAAAGCAGAGCGACTCCACCTCCGTCTCCTCCTGTGCCCCACTCTGCAGTGCTAACACAGCAAAAATGGACTTTGTCTCGTAGAGAAATGGCTAAGTTAGCCCAGAAAAGGCCTTTTTTTCTTCATGATCTGCTTTTCGAAAATAAACAACTTCTGAAAGTATCACTGGAAGGCTTCTTTTTATTAGGTGATAAGAAACAACTGAATATTCTGTAAAAAAGTCAAGAGATGTATGAAAATAAACAGGACAGGCATTTAAACATATGGCGAGGGACAACAGTTTTGATCCGAACTTTGCGATGCGTGCACAGAAGCTTTGATGTATTCAGCTTTATAGGTACATGCCTCAGGCGAGTCTGACCTGTGGCTTGAATACTTTCAAGCCTAACTTGAGCTTATTCCTAAAAAGTCATGGTGCTGTTGGGTTATCACCATTTCTTTTTCTCTTTTTAGCATTTCTTGGATTTATTATTCTAAATGTGTATTTAAAATTATGTAAAGTGCACTTTATACTTGAGTATCAATTTATATTGTGATTAAAAAGCTTATTCATGTAGTAAACCAAATTACAAACCCACATATTTTCAAAGATCACAAGGCTTTGGAACATCAAAACATTACTTGATTTCTCAGGAGGAGCGATTCAGATGTTAATCCCTAAAACTAGTCTGAGATCACATTAAAGGGTTAAGGTTTCTGGTTCTGATTCAGATATGCTGAGAATCGAGATAACTAAAAACTTTATGCTACCTGCCTTCCAGTTTTATGTATTTAATTCCAAATTTGATCTTTTCCCAGCGTTTGCCTTGAAAATGAGCCCAATCCTAAACTGAATCTGAATGTAAGAGAATGTACCCCCCTTTAAGTGGTTATCAATCAAATTAACCTGAATTAACTTCTTTAATCATTGTCCTTTTTCACCCTTTCCAGCTCCTGAGTGCTCACCAGAGGGACACCACGTCCTCCGCAATCCCTACCGCAGCACCCGGTTTGACTCGCTGCAACTGCAGCGAACGGCAGCTCAGGACCTGGTTTGTGACCACTCCTTGCCACCAGCATGGTACCGTTTCATGATCGACAACAGACCTGCAGAGATGCCAACGAGATGTGTCGAAGTCAGTAAAACTTAAACATTAACCCTGGTGAACATTAATAAATCCTTTGACGTGATTCTCCTTTCCAGTAGGCTGCAATGGGGATAAGTGAGTGGTAATGGGAAAATGACTTTTCACATGATAATAATAGTACTTGTCATGTCCAAAAGCACTAGTCAGAGACCAGGATCCCTAAGGACTGGGCATTATTTAAACACAAAGCATAAAACAAGGTGTTTCCCAACTCTAAAGAGAGCACCTCAGTAATCCACATGTGTCACTGTAAATTATACTTTTTTAAAGCAATTCTGTTGCTTTAAGAAAGAATTATGGAACCTGATACATAATTTATTTTGAATTAAGAATATGTCCTTATTATTAAATCAGAAGGGAAAAATCATGAAAAAAAAAGAGTATGAAAAGATGTCGTTTAGTGGTACAGAAAGAAAAGCTAAATCTTTTTTGTTATCACCATTTCTTGTATTATTTAGTTTCATGAGTATGCTAACTGCTCTCCAGAGCAAAAGAGCCCCACCACTGAAGACTACTCTCTAAAAAAGACAAATCAATAAATATCTGTTTTTATGTCTGTTTAATATGTATGACAATAACATTTAACTTGCAATGATTGCTGCCAGAGCAATTTGAGACCTTAACTAAAGCACTGCCATCTCAAATAGCCCAGTTGCAGGAGGTTAGAACAGTTTCAAACACACTGCTAAATAAAATTATTTAGAAAATAAGAAACTAATGACCATAAATGACTTTAAAGCTGAAATATCCAATCTAGAGTACCAGGGAGTTTAATATTAGGTGATGCTGCCCTAGCTGGAGAACCTTCTGGAAATCAGCAATGTTTCATATCTGTTCAAAATGGACCTGTGAACTCGTCACAATAGAAGCATATCTTCATAATCCAATGTTAAATGGAATGTTAAGAGATAATTATTACTTCTGTGGGATTTCTAACTCTCTGCATACACAAACCATAAATCTAATTAACATGAACAAATTGGCATGATTATTATTGAAATATTCATTTCATGGCAGGTCAGCTTTGAATATCTCAATGCACTATGAAGTTTATTTTTACAGGTTACGCTATAAGTGTATCTATATTCTATAAAATTATTTAATTTGCCACTGTATTTCAGCAATTTCTAGTATGTAGTAATGCTCAACTGTATGAGATTTCTTTCCAACAATACATGCTTTGTTTCTCTTAATCTTTTCTCTGGAGTTTTTTATTCTGGTTTGTAGAGCTATATTCATTAGTTTAGTTTCTTATCTTGTAATATAATTCTTGCCATTGGTTTCTTCATTATCCTCTGAATGACAGTAAATCTCTGCTTCGCCATGCTGATGAAGGATTACATCTGTTAGATGTCACAACTGGAAGAATATGCTTCTTTTAGACTTCACCTTCTAAATCTGCCTCTATGTTCTATCTCTTCCACCTAATTAAATCATTCTTTAATTTGGTTTGCCATTTAATTTGAGCAAAACCTCTGGAATAAAATAATTTAAATTAATAACTGCACAGATTCCACTCCTCAACGAGCAGTTATTATTGGACATTCCAGCCTGGCTGGAGTGAGCTGATTTTAATTAAACAACTCAAAGACAAAATCCTGTACAGACAGAAGAGAAAAGAGACCAAATAAAGCCTGAGAGTACAGCTGGAGAGTTAAAAAGTACATTACTACAGCACCTTGTGAAATATTTGCCTGGTGATACTCTGTTGATACTGGCCAGGTACAATTAGCTGCTTATCGATGGATAAGATTAACTGCCTAATTCGAAGTTATAGTAGGTAAGGATTCTTGTCACCCAATTGAGCTCAAAAAGGATTTAAACCATAATGGAGATTTAGACATCCTGCCCAGCTGAAGAGAGAATTGCGGCGGGACAAATGGTGGCTACGGGTGAGGTGAGGTCCCAGACCCGGCTGCGGTGCATGGGCAGGGGTAGCTGGCTCCTTCAGATGTGCTCTCAAAACCCGTATTCTGAATTTTCCCACAAAAAAAGCTTCATAATAAAAATGTGGCCCTGTCTTCATATAGTTTCATAACCATAGAGAGTATTACATTCAACAGAGAGCAGAACCAAGTCACATACAAGTGCTATGAGAGCCTGCGTCTGCAAGCACACCGCAGCCAAGAGGCACAGCAAGCTTTGTAGTGAAAAACCAATAACAGCTCTTAAGAAGCTGCTTCTCGTCCACTAATTTAACAAACAACTGAAAAACAAAAGGAAAAAAGACAGAAGAAAAACCCAAAAGCTTTTATGTCAAAGAGAGTGAAAATATGAATTATTCCTGAAGTCTCCATCCCTTGAACCCAACTGCTGTCCCTAAACTTATTCCTCCAATGGCAAAATACTTTTGATTGAACCAGGTTTCCAATTTAGGCTTTGCCTGCTTTATTTCTCTGGGGGGTAACGAATGATCCTGACCTTCCTCCCTCTATTTCTTCCTCGTCTCTCCCCCTGTGCTCCCAAAGGAGGCACAGCAATTACCGGGTCCTGGGCAGGCACTCTTGGCCACGGCTACTTCCCCATCCAACAATAAATCCTAGCAGAAAAGCAACACAAACTTGCAAATTTTATATCCCCAGGTATTGAGGCTGCTGCCTACATGTCACAAACAACAGTTTGTTCTTCAAGAACTGCCAAATTCACTGTGAAAGGCAAAAACTCTAAAGGAAGAAAGCATAGGGAAGTTTTTACTAAGATTAAAGCACTGTGTATGAAGAGCAAGAAACAAGGCACAGACATGGCCAGACCTAGTAGTAAAATAACCTTCAGGGGAAGAACAAAAGTGACATCAAAATTAAAGCTCAGAGGAAAATCTATTAAAAATACAGAGAAGTATTTAACAGTCAATACAGGGAAAACATACATTGGTTACAGAAATAAATACTATTTTAATTCAGGGTTCTGAATAAAAATAATATAGAATATACACACACATCTGTATATATGCATATATGTCCATATGGGCAAGCCCCAGGAAAGGAATGAACACTGAAAAGAAATGAGAGAGAACAACCTGCTAATTTTGTTGAAGATCTGCTCTACAGTCAGATAAAAAAAAAATATCAATCTGTGGATTACGGAAGAGCAGCGTATGCTGCAAACCAGATTGCAAATCCCAATGCCACACCATGCTAACGATGGGCAGGGCTTGCAATGCTGGCTCACAGCTCATGGTGAAGCCAGAGAGACGGCTGGAAATACACTTCCTTCATTAATTCCCCTTGTTTACACAGGGGTAAAAAATCTTAGATTATACTCTGCAACCTGAAGGAAAAGAACAGTTAAGAATTTGATTATGCAAACAGTAATTGGTTCTGGAGCCAGCAATAATACTGATGATACTGTGTGGATGGGTTGGATTCATTGCTCCTCAAAGCAATGCTGTTATTTCCAGCTTTGAAAAGTGAATTGCAAACAGCAAACAGTAAACTGAAAAGGATTAACCCAGAATCACCACCAATTGTCACCATCAAAAACTTGTCCTCTGAAACAAGGATTCATGGTACCGTATACCTTGAGCAGAGAGACTAATACAGACATCACTGCACTGACCACAAAAATCACTGCACACCCACTGCCGAGGTGAGACGCTGGTCCCACGGGTCTCCAGATCGTCTGAAATGTCGGAGTACCTCATCCAACAGCAGTCCCCCCACACCACCCCTCAATACAGATGGCCCAGATGTATGGCTCAGCATTTATATATAGGTATGCATTCAAAAATATGGATGCTTCCTGAGCTGATAGGCACATACCAGCTCTGCACACACACATTTACATGGAGACACACACATATACAGGTATATACCTGCACAGCACGGCATCCATCACCTCAAGTTCAACTTGGTCCAGAGGCTTCTGGAGTCAGACGTGGGTTCTATGTCACACTAAAGTCTCCCATGAGCCAGTCCTGTCACTGTAATTTTTTAGCAGCCACAATCCTGCAGCAAGGATTTATACAGGTTAGTTATGGATATGACACTCTGTTTTGGAAATGCTCAGTAATTGCTGCCTCTGACGGTATATCAAGATTACTTCCAATATCCTTCTACAGAAATTTCATTCTTTAAATGAGAAAAAACAATCTCCAAATTTGTATATGTTCTAAATTCATGTACAACTGTAAATGCGGTATAAGACAGAGGAGATGTTATGCAGTTAGGGCTGGTGTTTTCTCAACAGTTGCATTTTCAACAATATAAATTTACTTTTATATATATACTATGCCCAAACATAGGCTTAAATGCTAATCTCTCATGTATAAAACAAGATCATATTAAAGGGTGTCAAATCTAACCTGCCTATGATGCTTAGTATTGCTGCCCCTGGAGAAGAAGAAGATTTACTTTTTCCTATATTCAGTTTAATTTCCTCCCCTACTTAACTTGTTGTAGAACATTTTATACTCACAGTCAACCTCATACTATTTTTTTATTTTGTTTCAATTTTTATTTTGCTGCAAATCCAATCCTACTTTGATTTGCAATTGTTTTATGAACTTAAAAGCAAGTGACACTTGTATTATTTAGTGTTTTCATCTGTAATTCTCTTTCTCGCATGCATACGTGAATGTTCCAAGTCATAACAGGAGGTATGAAGAGGTTTTGGTTTTCTTGTTTGTTTTTCAGGCATAGAAAAAGTCTTCTGTAGAAATTACAATTACAGCCTCTATTGTTCAGAAGCATGTACTTAAAAGAAAACAAGACAAACACCGCTTTAATTGTTACTACAGATATTCCTGACGTAAACTCATTTCTGTGGAGTTCAGTCTCAGATTGAAATAAAAAAAAAAATCTTATTTACTTTAACTTACTACAAAGAAACTCAAAAAACTAAGACAAAGTAAAGTTTTTTAGATGGTAACAGATGCAAAATCACAATGCTTTAACTACCAACCAACAGTATACCAAAAAGCCTTCCATCTCCATCTAACTCAAACAATGCATTTCTCACATATGGTGCTACTTATTTTTAACAGCATCATTTCAGTGCAATACCCAAGTGACAAGAACAATCAAGTTTGATTTCTTTGTGCAATTATAAAGAACCTCAAAGTGTTCAATCAATCAAACTAGTTGGTTCTCCAAACCCCAACTAAATGGAAGGAGACATCATTGGATTAAACAATAATAGTTTGTCCCATTGTTTTGGCAATGGGGGAACAAATTTAATTTTTTTTTTCACTTAGGTTTTCTGAACTGAATTATTTAAATGATTAGCTGATGCCTAATAATGAATCAAAAATACTTTATGAATGCTTACCTGCCACATAGAGGTGTTGCAAAGATTAATTAGGCAAGGTTTATGAAATGCTTTGAAGATTAAAACCACGGCTTAATTCTGACTGGATAGAATATGAAAGGAACCTGAGCACTAAAGAAGCCTGGCAACAGCCTAAAAACTCCCTTTTGTGTTAGAAAAGTTCTCCTTTATACAAGCTGTGTCACTGGACACCTGATACGGATGCACTGAATGACCTAAATTTAGGGTTTACAACAATATAGTTTACTTCACTCACTTGCCATTACGTTGACCAGTTGCAAATCCAAGTAAAAACGTCAACTGAAGTCATCAAATGCTTGTGATCTCTTCCATGGGGCATTAATCAGCTGTCCACTGCAGCTCACCATCCAGGATGCTGCCTAAAGACTTATAGGAGACAGGATTTGCAGGGAGAGACACTATTTCTCATTAGACCTACCAATACGCTCAGGAATAACTGGTCAGACTGGGGGCACACACATGGTTTCCAGTGTCACTGGTTTATTTTTTTCCTGCTGCATACCTTCCATTTCCAGTGAAAATTGCCGATATTTTGCACACCACAGCAATAGTGCCACCGTGCAGTTTACATTACGTAGCCCACCTGGAGAACCCCAGCAAAGCCAGAATCTGATCCTCACTGCTGGCTTCCCAGCCGATGAACTCCTGTCTCCAAGAGGCTTTCGGAGTTTGCTCTGCTGCGGAGGCAGCTGTATAACTCCTCATCTTCATTTTGGAAATGCTGCTGAATTATGGTGTGAGAATCCCGCAGCTTTATGCTATTCTTGGCGCAGCGATGGCTGTAGTTACTGCAGGTGAATGCTACATCTTAAATGCCAATCATTTGCTACCTCTGTATTCAATTTTCTGTTTACTCTCCCACATCACTGCTACAAAATTTAATGCTAATTATGCCACAGCTGGGACTTGAAAATTTTGGGTCTTTGAAATCTTTTCTCCTAGACTTTTTTTTTTTTTATATTTTTTGTTTGGTTTTTTTTCTGTTCTTGTCTGTACTGCTGGTTGAATACATGAATACACACTTGCCCTTGCCTTCCCAGGTCTGTTTTATAATTCACAGAGGACTCACACAGCAAATCCTTTTGGCTAGCGTGGGGCAACTTGCCTGACTCCGATGGACAGCATGTAGCTCAAAGCAGAAAATAAATGCATGTATGTCATAAAGCTTCCAGGAAAACAGAAACACTTGATTTATACCAAAAGTCTTCCTTGGACAGCCTGTAATACTGTGTCATAGTTTGTTACAATAACTTGCTTTCCCACAGTCTGACTTTTCCTGGGTGCAAAGTCAGTTGGAAGGGTTCGTTATTGCTCGTAATTTGTGCACTTTACATAACACACCGTTTTGCTCAAGCAGTTTCTGTGCGGGATTTGCCAGAACAAATCCAGGGTGCTGCAGACCCCAGCGGGGGGTTATCAGAAAGCCTGCACACAATGCCGGCAGCTGACGTCAGCCGTGCTAATCCGTCCTTTCTCGGGCACCGACATGGCTCGCAGACTTGTGGCCAGGATAAATACAAAGAGGGAGAAAATCACCCTCCTCTTATTTCAGCATTTCATTTTTTTCCCCTCTGTGTGTTAACAGGGGATGCAGACCCACTTTTAGAAAGTACAGATCATATTTTGTATTTTTTTCCCAGCCAGAATGCACTTGCATCTGTCTATTTATCTACATGGCCCGTAGCACAGCAGATAGACAAGTGTCTCATTAATGCATTTATCTTTTCAGCACTGCTGCAAGGCAGGGAAGTACTATTACCACCTCAGCCACCTCTACTTCTGGTTTAGAGATAAGGAAGCGAGGTGTGCAAAGAGTAAGTGATTTGCCCAAGGTCAGGGAGCAGCCAGGGAAACTGAGGCACGGCACGTGCCTGGCCAGGGGCAGTCCAGGGGCTGCATTCCCAGTGGAGCAGAGGTGATGGGACCAGTTACTCTGGTAAAAGCAGAAGCAAACGAATGCAATAGCTTATTTTGAGGTCTTCTCAAGAGCTGTGTCTCCTTACCAAACCATTTTCCTTCAGGGCTTTCTGAGAGCTCGTCTTCAGCGAGCTCCATCACTCATTCATCTCTTCTGCTCCACACCCCCTTGCTCTATTTCTTCCCAGCTTGTGGGGTTCAAAACACCTGCGAGATACGCTCACAAGTATCTGCATTTTAATGTGAATTGGAAAACAGCAGTTCAGTCCAGCAATCTTTATTCACACATGCAGAGGCACAGAAGTCAGCAGTTACCTGGAGTAAGAGGAAAATCAAGGTGCTAGTATCTCATCAAGAAGATAACACGAGTATGAACCAGTTGCCATCCTTCTCTCTGCACCCATCCTCACTTTGTGTACAGTACTTCTTCTCTGGATGATGCTTGCTCCACTCTCCTGTGTAATTACAAGAGTATGCTCATAAACATGCTTTGGAAACATGCCACTTCATGTCAGATCTCACTGTCTGGGTCAGAAGTTTACCAGGATCAAACAAATTCCCAACATCTGCATTTTTCCCAGCACAGAAAGCACCGGTGTCCCTTAAAGCTGTAAATAAATAAACAGAATAAATCCCTTAAAAAGTAACACGTACATCATGACTTTTAAATAAAGGAAGGGAAGGGATTCTTCTAAAATTCCATGTAAAAGCCTTTCATGCCGATCCTCTTCTTCTCCTTTGCTAGCACACTGCCATCACGCTATTCCTCCCCAGGCACATGCTGTGCTGGGCGAGCTCCCGTGCCTTCTGCTCGGCCACTGGGAACACGGGCAGGATCAGCCCCTCTGCTCTGCCACTGCCACATTTCTGGGGGAAAAATAGACTTTTGACAATGGTAATGGTGGAATCCTTGTTTTCAGAAGCCTGGCAATAACTGTCTCCAAATGGAAATCAAACCATGCCATGCCGCATGCTTTACTCCCTTCAAACACCTTGCTTTTACTGGGCGTGCAGCCCCTGCTCCTGCATCCTGGCTTTCTGGCTTGTACAACTCCCAGGTAAAATTCAGACTAAAGGAGGGCACTGGCATGTGACTCAATAAATTTATCCTTTGACTTTCACCGCTTCCCCTGCTGTCACAAACAACTTTTGATCTTAAAAAGTGAAGCAGCAAACAGAGGTCAATGGGAAAAAATGGTGGTTTGTTTTTTTGTTGATGTTTTGTTTGTTTGCTTGGTTTTTTTGGCTTTTTTTTTCTTCAATGTGATTTATAGCTAAATGGTCACACTGGGAGGAAAAATGTCCCCCAAGTCAGACTACTCAAGTTAGTTCACTATCTCTGGCTGAAGAAATGCAAAGCAAAAGCAGCAGTCACGCTCTGGGGAATATGACTGATATCTGAGAGTAAATTATTGTCTGCATTTGGTAATAATTTTCAGACTTTATCTCTAATACCTCTATGCATTGAATATTGGTAACAGGACAGAATAACAAGTTACCATTATAACGGACTGTGTATATTTTATTAGGCTCAGATTGTGCTTAATCTCATCACTGAGGTGCTTAAATTAAAGACAGCTCTGTATAATCCTGTCCTTGTAGTCAGTGGAAAAAGCCTGGCAGGTACAGAAGGCAATTTAGATCTGAGATGCCTGAACATCCATCTGTAAGATAGGAAAGGTAAACCCAAAGCAGGTTCCCCCAGCCATGACTCAAAATGCTGTGCCTTAAACCATTTAGGAGCAAACCCTTCTGCTTTGGGAATTCCTGCATTCAGGGGATTCAGGAATTTAATGGAATCTGTTAATAGATAGAAACCTGAAGGTCAAAAACCCCAGAGAATGCAATCAAATCATGTATATCCTGCATGTGTTTCCCTTCAAGAAAGAGGAAGAGGCTGAGGCCCCAGAGATGTGTCCAGTACCTGCTGGAGGGGTAGGGCAGAAGCTGCCAGGACAACACTAGCTGAAGCCTTTGCCTTCTTCTGCTGCAGATGAAGCATGGATGGGAACGGCCAGCTGGTGTGGCCCAACGTGTGCTACCCAGAGAAGGGTCTAGCCTGTTTACATGCTTCCATCTTTTTCATACAAAAAAAAAAAAAAGAGGAAAATACTCTGGAATCCAGTTATTGTGTTCTTTGAGAATTTTATTAGTGTAAAGTCACATCTCTAAGCTGAGCAAGACATTTTCATGCCCACCTATGCAGCTTTTTCACTGGCCGTCCAAGATTACCACACTCAAAGTCTTGGGTTTTAGTGATTCCCCCTGGAGTCCTACTGGATTTCCTGTAAACCGTTTCTTTTGTGTGCATCCTCAGATGAATAAATGTGGGACACAAGCTCCGGTGTGGCTGTCGCTGAAGTCCGAATCCCTGCCGGTTCCTGGCGAGAGTAAGCGGCTCACAGCCTGTGCTACCTGGCAGGTCTTCTTCGGGGGCACCAAGGACTGCTGCTTGTTTCGGATACCCGTGGCCGTCACGAACTGCGGCAAATTCTTTGTGTATCTCCTGCAGCCTACTCAAGGATGCATGGGCTACTGTGCGGAAGGTGAGGATGGGTAAAGTATTTATCAATAAGATTGCATACGCCTCTCTGGCTGTGCGTTCAGAGGTCCTGGTATTGTAATGCACATCTTGGTGACCTTGCGAGTCAAGCATCGCTCCCAGAAAGATGTAGAGCGTGTAGGAAATAAATCAGCGGCCGTCCAAGGTGTTCCTGAGGAATAGCTATTATTACCAGTGCAGAATGTAATCTGGCACGTATTACTGAAGTGTTCTTTGCTTGGTTACAGTTCACAGGTAACCTTTCCTACTGTCTTTGGCTCCACTTTGGCTTGAAGTTGCACAGCTAGTGAGCAGAGGCATCTGGGTTTTATCGAGGCACTGTATCCAGGATACTGTGTCTGGTCTTATCTCCAGTAATCTAGTATCCCCCCCCAAAAAAAGATAATTCTGAAACTCTGAAAGAAAAAAAAAAAAAAGATAACATCTTCTTCATGACATTATATAATTACTCTCTTCAGAAATAATTTTCAGCCCACTATAAGAGATCTAACCCCTGTTCTGTAGCTAGGAAACAAAGGAGTAGCAGAAAGCAATTGCTCAGTCAGTCAAACCTTCTGAACTTCGGAGCATGTTCAGGTACATATAGATTTAGTCAGAAAAGGCACTTCTTTCTCAAAAGGAAAAAATTACCTTTATAGTTTCCTTTCAGCAGTTTTGGACAGAGACATGACACACTGAGAAACCAGGGTTATCACCTTTCAATCAGGCAAAATACAAGCTTAAATAAATTTTAAATGGAGAGATATCTATTTTCTTATCTTTATCAATATTTTAACATCCCCACATGAAGAAGAGTGAGGAAAAAAGGCTCAAAGAAAGCAAGATTAATTCACTATTTGAAATAAAAAAATCCATTAAAATAAATGATACTGCTCTTTAATTTCCATGATTCTTTCTCAGAAATGACTTTTTAACTGAATACAATCATGTTCCAGTTTAAGCTCAGCTTTTATAAATTAAAAGATTCCCACTACCCTTGTTTAAAAAAATCTTGTACCAATACTTTTTGGGCAATTAGTTTTGTCTTTCTGTTGATCCATCCCTGTTTAGTAACGTAAACTGCCTGCTTTTTTCATAAAAGAAAGTTTTTCCCCTCCCATCTATCCCAAACCAATGACCTTCTGCCTTTTCTTACCACTGCTGTTGAAGATTTCACCTTTTCCCTGGGCATTTCAGCAAGGTCCAGCTCTCCCGAGTCTTTAACTTCTTGTCTTTAGGATGTTTTTGCAGTATCATGTATTGGATGGAAAACACCCAAAGCTGAAGTTTTTTACTGGGAGTTGTTAACTCACTGCCTTAAATTCAGCTGTGAACATTGCACCATAGGAACCTCCACGCAGCCCCAGGTCGGGTCCAGCTGGCACCATCACAGCTTCTTACTGGGGTTGATCCCCCAGCCTCATCCATTGGAGGCTCAGGAACAGGACACCGGTCAGGACTTCTTAGCTGAAAACAAAATTAATTTAAAGTTTCATAGCTCGGCAGAAAGGACACAGCTGGGAAAAGCAGAGTATGAGTTTGCAATTCTGCTCACATCCTCCCATGAGCTGATCACCTAACTTTGTCCTTCTGGAATAATTTCCTGCAGAAAGTCATGATGTGAGTGACAGTTTGAGGTAGCTTCCCTTAGAAACGAAAGAGAAAAGGATATAAACAACTGGCACTTATTCATATTTTAAGTAACTTGCTTCTTTTTCTTGCCTCTTGTTATTTGCCCTGCACAGACATTAACATATTGGTTCTTCATTCTGCTCTAACAGCCTCATGCCTTATTCTCTTGGGCTCCCATAATATTTTCTACACTCATCCAAAAAAGTTACTTAATTTATCCTTTCAAAGCATCTGAACCAGCTTCATGTTCTGTTTGAGTCCAGGTGTCTAGAGATGAAAGAACATCACCCCGCACTATTATACATCTTTTTTGTTTCTACTTTTTAGGTGAGTTTAACAGGAAGAAATGTTTCAGACTTCATTACTTCTTGAAGCCTATAGGAAGCAGGCTGTATTTTTAGAGCAGTGGCATTATTCTGGGCAGAGGAAAACTACACTGAGCAGACTCAGCCTAGATAGGTCCCAGAATATCCTGGAAAGGATCTTGAGAGCGTGGCAATATGGGCTGGGGTGTTCTCAGAGCTGATTTACCTCTGCAACTTAATTATTTCTCCTATCTCTTCTGTGCTTATTGCAAAACTTGGATCGAAAGGCTGTGCTTCAGGGGAGTGCAAAGCTGCTGGCCTTTGCCAGAGTAATTAATTGGTATTAATCTGAGTGCTTCATTTCAATACCATTTCTCTTACTGCAAAATAAAAACAAAACAAAAACCAACACAAAACTCCAGGTCAAATATTATAACAGCACTGGGTAGTCAGTACACAATCAACGATTTTTGCATTCTGAAATACATCCTGAAATTGCAATCTGAAATATATTTTCTTGCTTGCATAGTTAACAATCAAATCACAAGAATATAAAACATAGCATTTCTCCCATGTTTAGTAACATTGAAATCTTCTTGTTGAGTGAACAATTGTAATATTTAAAATAATATTTTGTGCTACATCCTTCTTTCATTTCCTTCTTCCAGACAAACTCCCAAGCCTGGCTTTGCAACCGGTGATAACTCCTGAGCTCATACAAGGTCGTGTCCACCTCAAGTGCGCTTACAGCCGCCCCTCCGCAAAGCCGCCGCTGCGATACGTGGTGGTCTGGTCCCGCCTGTCCGCCCCCGGCATTTTTTTTCCACCCCGCAGTCATTTTCCTACGTGGAGATGGACGGCGTAAATCTCAGATTGGGAGACACGGTAATGCCACCCCACCTTCAGCGAAAAAGGTCAAATGCTCAGGGGGATTAAATCCTTTTCCTAAATCTTTGTTGCGTTTTTATTAGTGCTGCTCCTCACTCATTATACTCACAACCAGTGCAGAAAAAAAATGCTGAAGCTGTTCCACAGCTGGATTATTAAATAGCAGTTACCAGATTCAGGATCTGTAGCACTTCTTTGAATTGCAGTGAGTTCACAGAAGCTATCCATTTTAGTATTTTCTACAGCAACTTGAATATTTGCACTTACATTACAGCTTGAATGCCGTGAAGTTGGTATGAGTAGTAGGTACGTGTGCCTGAGCCAATTTCTGCTCAGTATTTTTTGTATCTTGCAGCAGCGAGAATTTGCAGGAGACAGCCTCAGCTATATGCACTCTGTAATTTTTATACTCATGGACCAGAGACACAATAACATCTTTTCACAGAAGAGAAAGACGGCACATTTTGAAATAGAGGGAGGTATATTTTACGGTCTTTTTCACGTTGTTCTGCCTCTCTGATACCAAATTCTTGGTTCAACAGCATTCTGAAAGATAGAGTTCACTACAAAACAAGCTTTAAGAAGTATATTTGATGGCTTACATAGCAGCACAGATCTAGTTTCAACAACAATAACAAAACAGCCAGTACAAGATGTGAAAAAAACCTGACTTGGGTATGAATCCACAGCCTTTCATGGTACAGAGACAAGACTTTTAAAGTTAAAATAGGTTCATAATTTTTATAGGCAGAGAGCCATTAGTGATGCTACAATGAGCTGAAAGAATAAACAGGGATAATGGCCTTGTTTTAAAAGTAGGTTGGAAATAGTCTTGGCATCTTGCAGCTCTTCTTTGAGATATTTGAGAAAGAAATGTGAAAAAGATTTTTCCAGTTCTTGAAAGGATGAGTCATTTGTAACAGCAGCACAATCTAGGTAGTTTTTTTCCTCATTTCTCCTCATAATTATACCTCCCGAATTCAGAATCTGACTGATGCTGCCCTCACTTATAATATAACACAAGGCAGACAATTCTGCCAGTTTAAGACAACTTTGTGTTACGAAGAAATATTTTCATCAAAATAATTTCACTTGCAATTACTTCAAATCTAGTTTTAACAATCCCGAGGGATTCAGAGAAAATACAGTTAACTAGTAGCACCCCCAAATCTTCATAAGGCCATTTTTATTACACTAAGTTTTCAGTAAGCCCTTCTTTGTCCTCTGCTGAAACTCCATGTTTAATTTAGCAGGTTTAGTAAGACTCATTCTCTTCCTTGCTAGATATTTTTTTTTAAAAGGTCTTCATGGCCTATTTGCCTAATTATAATTATCCATAAATCATCACTGGTGGAACCAAGCAATGAAGCCTCAGCTGTAACTGGGAATTAGGTTTTACATAATAAAGATTTTAAAAAGCATTTTGCCGTGTTTGCCATCCCACTCTGGGTGTCTAGTAAGAGTCACAAAGGGGCAGACTCTCCTTGTACCTCCGGTGGTGTAACCCTGAAGCAACTTAGTGGGAGTTGGTAGGGCTCCTGCAAAGGAAGGTGATGCCACTAAAGGGAGCACCAAACCCCAGGGACCAGACTCAGCTGCACGGAGGTGGTTCATAACCTTCCACCCACCCAGGAAAGATGCAGGTGGAAGGCTTTTTTCTCAGACAGCATTAAGGGGAGGCCAGATCCACACTGGCAAAAGCCATATGAGAGAGGAGACAATGAATCAGGGTCACTTTCCAGTTCTCCTTCCCCTTCTCCATGCACACCCCAGTGGCAGCATCATCAAGGCAGCGCACTGCCAGAGCACAGGGGTGACATTCAGATCAGAAATTGGTCCCACAATGTAGAAATTGCAGCATTTTAAAAACTCCTTGCTTTTTTTAACCTACTCTGTCTACCTGCACATAACCTGAATTTGGTCTCAATGCTTTTATAGCCTGAAATAAGCATCTTCTCTGTTCATTTCTTGATAAAAAACTACAGCCAAGCAAGATTTTTTTTTTAATCACCTTTCAGGTGATTGATATCTATGCTATTTTTTATCCGTCAAAAAGTCTCCAGATAATAGGTTAGTCACATAATAGAATACCTATTGATGTATTTCAATACCCAGTCAAACCTTAGAGAAGAGTTGAGATTTACTGGCCAACATTTCTGAACTTCTATTGACTAAACATCCAGTTATTTTTTAATAGCCACCATGCGTGCTTTTCTCCCCCATCTTTGGGCTCCAGTTTTGTTATTTCAGACAGTAACATTGGCAGCATAACGTTCACAAAACTACTGCAGCCTTAAATAAATCCATAGCATACATGTATTTCTATATAAATGCTGAAAGAAGCCTGCTCCATCTGATATGAAAAGCCTGGCATTCCTAAGCCTTATTTATGTCATAGTGACAGAGGTCATTTCATTCCTTGAGGCATAGCCATCTATAAATTATAGCAGCACACTGTGAGTAATGAGTTAGGCTAAGAAAGAAAGGTATTTAGAAGAAAACAGCGCAGATTTTGCTCAGCACAGCAATCCAAAAGTTCATACCGTGAGGAGCAATTGTCACCGTACATAAACTACGATGCACATTGCAAAATAAAAATATTTAAGTAAAACTGTCCTTTCTGAGCTTTGTGCTAGAAGTGACTGCTTTGCATGGCACTCTGCAACACCAGAAGAATATACCCCAGACAAAAAAATTTAAATTAGTGGCTCAATATGTAAAATAACTGATTTCCACTCATAAGGGAAGAGGAGTGAGATTGCCCCCTGCTTCAATACTAATCCTATCCCAACCACTGGACTTGACAAAGCCAACAGAAATAGGAAGACCTGCCTATTTGTAGGTCATACAGGAGTTTACAGCCTTCAGGTAAAGAACAAGGAGCATCCCCACAGAAACAGAGCTCTGGGTAGACTTGAGCAGAGATTTTAAAGGAGAAAGGGTCAGATAGATGACGAGCAAAACTCTGCAACTGATAAGACACCTTGCTACTACCCCGGGAAAATTTCTTTCCTTAGTAGATGAATGACCTACAGGCAGCCTCCACATACTGTTTGGCCCTTTGGCAACTGGTGAGAGCTGTCTTCTTTATATATAGTGAGTAGCAGAGGGACTAGAGCTGGACTTACCACACTGTCAGGTCATGCTGCTGCAGTGTCCCCCTCCCTTCTGCAGCTAACAGCCCATCACAGGGAGCGATTTGTGTTCAAAAGCTGTAAGGTCTGGTTTACTAATTAACTCAAAGTTAGATCTCCCTGCTTTCTCCTTCCTGCTAACTCTTCTGGAAAGCCTTTCCAGAGGCTTTGCTTCTGCCCCTTTCTGCAAACACCTACAGCCAGACCATTTCTTCGAGCTAATGAGAACTAATTTTTTTTTCCTTCAGCTTCCCTAGAAACACCATCCTTCATCTCTGCTCATCCTTTGCTCTTTTCATCAAGGCTGATAAACCACAGCTCCCTCCTGCACTCCCCAGCTCCCAGCAGAGCAGCTCCTCGAGGCTTTTCTAACCCCAGCCCATTAGCGTTTAATAGAGCAGACAACGGCACCTCGGAGACCTTGATATCCATCGCAAGACACCCTTTCAGCTGGTGTGATCAATGCCCTGCCCAACCCTTCACCTGCAAGCCACGAGTGGGGCTGAGTGGCTCTCACCCTTGCAGCCCCAGCCTGCCTTTTGACACAGTGATGTAGCCAGGAGGGGAGATCCGATCTCAGAGTTAATAAAGTTAATCACCCACAGCTTAGGCACTTGCACCTTGTGAGCAGCACAAAGACTTCCCCGCCTAGCGAATGGGAAGAAGTAGGGATCCCTAAATAGTTCCCTATGTTGAGATGGGAGCTTCCCACACATGGCCAACATAAATTATTGATGGGAGCAGTACCCCTGAATTCCCACACCTCTCAGGAGATTGGATGTCGGGGTCAGGAAAGGGCTTCCATCTACTTTTAATCCAGAGCTTCAAGTCCTACTCAGAGGTACCTGGCTGGATGCAGTCTTTGAAAGATCACTACCAGTAAAGTAAATATTTCAACTTTAAATCATTGCTGTTGTCTCTGGCACTACCATACAGCTCAAGTGCTTGCTGGAGAGATGGGAAACAGGGAGCTGGTCAGCCTGGCTGTGACCTACAGGCATGTCCTGCCTTTCCCAAGGAGCATCCCAGCCCCAGGGCGCTGGCTGCACATGCATTTGCTCGTTTTCACTGGTGACTGTTTAGGTGAAAGCACACGAGCCATCCTGATGGGCAGACCCAACCCCAGCACTCCCCTCTGCCAGCTCTTCTCTGTTTTCAGGACAAGTGCTGCTGTCCCTGGGACACTGTTGAGATGGGTGGCGGCACCGTTTCTGCCAGTGCCTCGAGAAGCATGGGGCTGAATTTGGCCTTTCTGAGAGCTCCTAAAACTATCTGGCAAACTGAGGCAAACACTACATTCAGAAGTATATTAGGGGCAGGGAAATGGATGAACTGGAGGCAGTTTTATCTTTGAAATGAGTATAAACAACTGATTTGGGTGAGATTTGGATTCTGAGACGTCTGAAAAAACCCCACATTTTGATGTGCAAGTTGTTAGAAAGAAATTTGCCAGAGTTGGTGACAGGTCTTAGTATTAAAATGCTCTTTCAAATTGTTTCCCAGAGCTGCCTTAATGACTGAATTCTGCTTTTCGCTAAATATGCTCACGGGGTTCACAACAAAGTGGGAAGGAATCTGATTGAGTCCACCTGAGGGTGGACAGCTGCTCCAACAGACAGGAAAGGAGAAACTTCTTAGCTACCAGGGCCTTTGTCAATCAGAATTTTGTGCCTAAAAGTAGTTTTCTGCCCTATGGGTAGATCTGCCTGTGCACAGGGGAAAAGGAGAACCTATGACATCCCGTCTGAGGGCACCTTTACATTTCTGTCCCTTTAAAAGGGATGATGAAAAACATATAATTTGATTTTTTTTAACGGATCCGATGAGTTTGTGGAAAAATACTGCCTAACCTGTCACGGCCATCAGCATACTGCTGTCAGTGATGCTTTTATCTCTTTGCTTTAAAAAGGCTCCATCCTGAGATGGGTGGTGGGGGAAAGAAGAGAAAGAAAAAGTTGATTACTGAACGGGAGAAAAAGAGCTAGTATTTAGCTAAAGGCAAAAAAAAAAAAAACCCTCCTTGGAGTGACTATCGTAATAATTACGTGACAAACTGTCAACCTGTAGCTCAGTAGCCGATGAACATATCTGCTGATTGTGAAGTGAAGCGTGCACCTAACAAGGTAAAGGCACTACAAAGGGAGGAAAGATATAAAAGACAGCAATAAAATGTAACTCATGATGGCTGTCCATACATTTTGAATTTGCAAAGTTTGTGCTAATCTCCAAGAGTGCTCAAGATAGAAGTGGAACGGACTGATAGTCTAAGAATATCTCCGTGTGTCGCTACGGAATAATTTTCAATTTTAGCGTTCAGTGCCTTATCAATAAAATATAAGTCTAAAATATATATGTGAGAAAACACAGTGCTCACAGGGAATGAGGCTGGGTTCTCACATTTCCCAGGATGTCGCTTTGGGGAAGATCACCGGGAGATGTCTTCGTCATCACCAGGCATCCTCGTGCGTGACCCTGCTGCCTCTCATTACAGCTCCCTCCGTGACAGAAGCACTTTGCGTGGCATGCTCACAAGGATCACCGTGTGTGGACATTTTTGGTAAAAAGTATTAAAGCCAAAAGTGCAAACAGCCCAGCAAGTCCATTGGATTTGCTCAATGAGCTCTGCAAGGGAATCAGTATTTATTTTTTTTTTTAAATATATGTTATCTGAACCCTTTCTCGTTGTCACCGCCTTGTCCGATCCCGATTTTGCAGACTCTCCCCGTGGTGACTGTAGGAGAAGCAGCAGGAGGAAGATCAACACTCACTTTCTGCCTTCCCAGCAGAAGACATTTTTTTAAACCTTTGTAAGCCAAACACGAGCCTTTAGGGAATGCTTGGAGCTAATAAATATGTAATGACAGTAGGGGCTTATTACCTTGAGGAGACAACTTGTTCTCCTTCGGAGGCAAACTGGCTAACTACAAAGCCTCTGAGGAATTTTAACTGTAAAGTATCTCTGAGGCCCGTGTCTTTTTCTCCCCCAGCACATCCTTACGACCTCAAGGCTTCCATCTAGTGTACATTAACAAATAACACTGTTTGCACTGGACCAAAATGGCTGGAGGAAAAGAGTGAGAAATTTTGTGCAGGTAAAAAAAAGGCCCAAAGGGACATAAACCTGGGACTGAGCTGGACTGGAAATAATCCACCTGAAGAGCACAGAAAACACCGGATTTTTCCCATAGCCGTAGAAATTACACTGTATTGCTGGTGGGGCATTTTCATTGTGCGCAAATGAGTTAGGAAAGAGGATTCTTCAGTTTGGAGGAAATCCATGACTTGATGGTAATGAAGAGGGATTTTTTAGGGTGGGAGAAGAAATATTCCAGAGTGCTATGCAACTGGTGCCCAGACAGCCATGTGAATCTGGGAATATCCTGGGTTTGAGCCTGTTTTGCTGCCACTGGCCATGACGGTTGAGCCTGAGCCGTCAGGCCGGAGCTCCCAAGAGCAGCACTGCTGGTGGGTGGTGCTGGAAAATCCATCCAAAGGAGTTTATCACAATAGAAAATAGATTAGATGGATCCAATTCCTCCTCATGGGTTAGTTGAGGCTTAAAAAAGGCAGTAGCTATAAATATGCCATCTGACTGTTTGGAATTGATTTAGTGTGTCACAATCTGTTAACCCATTTCTGAGAAGAAGCCCCCCCCCAAAAAAAAAATTCAGAAGTACAGTTTCAGAGCCTATTGTCATTTGCTTTAAGGAAAATTTCTGTAGTTTAATCTTATGATCCTAGAAATGATGTTAGCCGTTTGGGTTTTCTGAAACCAATGAAACATTAAGATGACAGATGGTGTGCGGGCTCAGCAGAGATAAAGGTTGCGTGACTGTGCTAGGAATAAAACATAAAAGGCCTGGTACGTTGTGTTTGGTGGAGATTTTTTTTGTTTTGGGGAGTTTTGGGGTTTTTTTACAGTATAAACCCTGTAGGCACATCTGCATCATTTTTTATAATGGAGTATAAAGGAGCTTCTTAAATTGCTGACACAGTTTGTGAGACCAGATGAGTGTCAAACTAATTTAAATTTAAAAACCTGCATACAAACAAGGGACAGAGAGAGGATATTTGAGCCAGTGGGCAGTCTGAAGTCTGGGATCCCAAGGGGTAATGTCCTAATCCTGGCAGCGATGTCTATGAACAATGTAATTCCCCCTAATTAAACTGAGTTAATATCACTAACCAAGGTGTTGAAAAACTGCAGAAGAAAACACACTGTAAGCAATCAATGTTATTAATTGTTGAGACAGAAGCCATGTTTCTTTGCTTATTAAATGCATCAAAAATTCTTCCAAATCTCAAGATTTATGTACAAACATTTTCAAAGCCCAAGCCCCGAAAATGTCTTTCAACAGTAGAACAAAAAAGTTCAACCCTGATCAACCGTTAGATGCACAATTCTATGATTTTTCTTCAAGAAAAACTATAGCATACACTGTTTATTATTGCAGGTCTTTTGCACCGTCACTGCTTTTCCGAGGGACACTCCTGAGCAGCAGTCGTTGCCTGAAGAGAGCAAAGGTTTCTACGCTGGGATTAAGGTAACGCTGATGGCCCTGATTTACTGACTTGTCTAGAGAATCCTCAGGGAATATTTATACATTATCTGACATGCTCGGAAAAGCAAGACACAGAAACATAAGCCTTGATCATCATAACCAGTGCTGCTTTCATGTTCACTTTGAGAAGATGTCTTAATAAATTATATGGCTTTCAGTCTGTTTGCAAAATGCCCTAAAGCACCCATCAGCACCGTGTGCAGGTGTTGACACTAATGCGCCATAAAGAACGTGTAAAACTACATCTTCTAGTAAATACAGCCCACAGTACTCTAATGGTTATGTGTAATGGGAAGACACACCTACAGGATGCAGAATTCTGTTATAACTAAACCAGAACAAAGTGATGGAAAAAGTTAATATTTATCCATCTTCTTATTATGGTCAGGCATTATAAAAAACAAATTGCTGAAGATAAATTCATACTGAGTGCAAAAACCAGGTCTAATCACTCAAGGATTAGAGTGCCAGTCTGGCAGTCCAGAGGAATTTGAGATCTTATGAGTATCTAAACTTCATGCCTCCATGAACGGTGTTTGAAAAATCTGGCAACCCATTCTCTGTGACATTTGAAGAAGAGTTTTGGGTTTTTTGGAAATGTCAGAATGTCCCAGGGAATGGAAATTCCTATTTCTGACTAGCCCCGAGTGCTGTTTCCACTCTTGTCCCAGGGGAAGAGATACAGAGAAATGGCATAACCCGACCTCCCTCCCTGGTGCACGAGCCACCAAAGCTGTAATTTGTTATGTATGGAGAAATTCTTCTTCCTCCTGCAGCAGAGAAAAGGAATTCGGCAAAAATTGCACTCACCTTGAAACTGGGGCAGAGTACAAATACGACCATGAGGAGTTGCCGTGCTTTAGGGCATGAATAATGCTGGTGTCTCTCTTAGTGCACTGGAATAGGAGCTCCTTTGAACCAGGGATTTTAAACAGTAACAGATTCTATGGTATCATGCTTTTTTTCAAGATTAATAAAAACCTGGTTTGAGATTAGGAGATGGGAAGAAATTAAATACTATTTATGACAACTGCAAACATATTCTTAATTACCAAGAATGTTAAAGCATCTTAACAATTTTACCTTTGAAAAGTTGAAGATCATTATTATGAAGACTGTTATTATTATTATTATGAGGATTATTACAAAGATTATTATTTTACAAGCAATTAGATAATTTCATAATTAACTAAAAACACTCAAAATTTCATAAATATCAGTAATGCTTAATTTATCTGTCAAAATGATCTAAAAATTATTTTCTTATTTCCAGTTTTTACCAGAATCATTACAAATTGCAGAGGACGGCAAAGAGCATGTTTTGACCATTCTGAGCACTGTACCCATTGCCTGTCCTGAGCATGATGATTCCTGTAAAATTACTTTACAGCTAAGTACTGAGGATTTGGGTAAGAGTTTTACATACTGGCATCAAATCAATGTGATTATTTTTCTTGTATTTATGTTACAATTAATTCCAAAATAAATTATAAGATTTAAATAACAACAAAGGGCAGAAGCTATAAAATCAACAAACTAGGTCATATATTGGTTTTCAAACTAAAATAGATTATAATATCACTCAGGTTTTTGAGTAAAAAAGGAAAAAAAAAAATCTCACTGGCAATAGCCTGAGCTGTAGTCTATTGAGATTTATGAATGAAATAACTATGATTCAAAGAACTTATTTTAAATTCCAGGAGTATAAAATTCCATTTTAAGTTTTTGTAGCAGCAATGGTCTTAGCTAGAATAATTTCGTTAATTATCAATAAGAAGCTCACCTGCAGATTTATTATTCAGTAAATGTGTACTGAAACCTTTTTTTTTTCTTTTCCTGGCTTCCAGTTTTTGCCTAATTTAATATAGAAGAAAAAAAATCATTCTTATGCCTATATATTCTTCTCTTTCTAAAGGCATTTTTTAACCTGAAAACATTGGCAAGGTCACTTAAAAAATTCTTGCCCTTTTAGTCAGTAAATTCCTTCCTCAGGCTGATCTGGTGGAATATCATGCCTAACCAAGGGGGGTATATATATATATTTACTTTCGATTTCCACCAAATAAAACATCCAACCCTTTTCTAAAAAGGCATTCATTTTTCTTTCATAGGTGACTCAATGAGAAAAATGTGTAGAGATAGGATTCCAGCCACAGTCTCTCTGCCCACAAAAAAGCCAGCTCAGAAAATAATGTTGGCAAAACCCAGATATTTTCCCTTTCTAAATCCCTCTCCTTTCTTTCCCCATCATCAACCAAGTGCTTAGACAGAAGAAAAAAAAAATTGAATGGTATCATAACACAATGATCTTAAACTGAACAGCACCTTATGGTTCCAGCAGCTGTGTTGGCTCTCATATGTGGAGTACTTTGCATTTCTCCATGGCTCAGTGCTGCTCCGTTCTACATATTGCTCTTGGCTTAGACTCTCTGCCGGTCCATCAGGCAAACATCCGCTGAACTCACGGGAACAGATTTGCTTAGAGACTGAGGTAGCTCAGAACACAGACTGGTGTGTGGTGGGACATCCCCACAGGCTCCAAGCATCTCAGACACCTACCATTTATGAGGATCAAATGAGAATTAGTCACATAAACTGGCAAGTTTATTTTTTTAACTCACATTTTCTTAGGCATTGGTAAAGGCTTTCAAAATCTCACTGCCAATGAACGCATGGTCCAGGAACTCTCAAGTGGGGGAGGCTGAGTTCTATAGATCGAACGCGGGCTGACCCCTTGCCAGGGTCTGCTCCAGTCCCACAATGCCCATTTGACTGGAAGAAAGAGGTGAGGCAAGACTTGCAGAAGCAGCTTTATTTTTCAAGCTGTCAACGGGCTTGGCATGTTGGTGCCAAGAGGTCCCAGGATGGAGACAGAACTGGACCAATTACCTCATCTTTGAAGGAACTTCTCACTGAAATGGAAAATTTCTGCAGTTTAAATGAACAACCAGCTCTAGCCCTTGATTGCTCCATCTTGAGGCTATTTCCTTGGACAACACTGTGGCCATTTATGATCAATTGAGATATCTAGATATACTTAAGGTTGAGTATCTGCTGCTGGGTGCCTGCATAACCACCTGTTTTCTGCCTTTATTGTCTGTAGGGTCCATTAGTTTATCTGAAGGAACACTGTGGGCTTCTGAAAAATGTAATGTCGGCCGCAGTGCTATAAATTGAAAATAAAAATAACTTCAGCTGAGTTTCATTTGTGCTGAATAAATTAACTGACAAGCTCCTTGTCTGACTGAATCCATATAACAAGACTGTTGTGCTAATTATGTAGGGAATAAGTGATAAGAAAGCTAATTACAAGCACAGAAATATCTCTCTAAGTTCAGACAATGTCATAATGAATGCCAAGGCACAGCAGAGCCACTGGAGTTCGGCTTCTGTTAAGTTTATCATTACTATTTTGACAAGATTATTTTCTTTGATTTTAAACTTTTGTTCTGGGTTGTGAGCACAGCTCATGGGTCTGTAATGGCAATAACTATTCCTCATGGAAACCTCCAATTTAATTGAATCAAGAACCTTGAAAATGAACCTAGGACTTTTCTAGAACATGAGGCAGCCTTTGAGGATTTGATATGACAGATAACATGCTGTTCCTATTTGTAAGCTTTTAGTTCAGTTCCTGTAGAACTCTACAGGGTTAATTGAAATGCTATTTTATGAGTCTTTTCCATAAGGAATAAAACATTGATTTTTTTGATCATGTTAGAAATACCATCTTAAAATACTTGAATGCTATCTCCTATAAATTATTAAGCAATTCTACAAAGGGGAAAAATGATATGAAAATCACTTATTTTCATGTCAGATTAATTCAGTTGCCACCATTTCTAGAACTTTGCTCTTCTCAGCTGATAATTAATGGTCTGGGACAGAAAACTAAATACTTGACAGAAATGCTGCTGATCCTGAAATCAGCAACAAGATTCTGACTGGTTTCAGTAGGGCCATGATTTCATTCTTCACCCACCAAAGGATTCATGAAGGGATGGGTGATTTCTTGAGGAGCAGATACACGCTATGTAAAATGCAGACCAGACCTCTTAGAACCAAACGCTATCCTAATTCAGCATTTGTAAATAAACACACGTATGGAAACAAAAATCCAGCTTTGTCCTTTACCTGAGATCTCAGCATGAAGGGTTAGGACCAATGAGAAGTGGACACTACCAGTCTTCTGCTAGAAGAGGTTCCTTCAGGAAAGATAGGATGTGGAGAGGCAGAGCTGCATGAATGACTTGGGTTGCCATTGCCATATTGATTTTGTCACCACCCATCCCTTCCCTGCCCATCGCAGATACTTACATAGCCAGTACCACCATAACGTCTTACTTTTCCACCTTCTTTTAGTGAATTTATCCTCACAATGCCTCTGTGAAAAATAGAAATAAAAATACCATCATTTTACAGACTGGAAAGTAAAGTACCATAACCTAGCTAAGCCAAAAATAGAAATACAAATCTGCTGCATTTGCCTTCCTGGTGTGGATCCAACGTTCACTAAAAACGGACTCAAGAACCCTCCCTTTCCAGGTCAAAAATTCTGTCCATTTTAAACTAATTCACAGCTGATACCTCTTTATAATAAAGCTAGTGAAAGAGAAATATTTTCCAGAAACACAGACTCATCTCTTTCTTTGTCATGAGAACTACTGTCTTCATTCCCTGGACACGGACACATAGAGATAAGACTGTCATTCCAGAAATATTAACACCTGTGGAAAGAAAAGCACCACTGAGTTTTAGAAAACTGTTGACTGCAGGGAAGAAAAAAAAAAGCCCAGTAAAATGTGCAGAGGGATGCCAGATTGAGTCAGTCTTCATGCAAACCCCATCTGGTTTCAAGGCATGTGTGTCCTGGAATGTGAAACATTTGTGTTGGATGGTAAACAGAGTATGGGCAACTGTTTGGATAACTCTTGTCAGACTTGGTCTTCCTGTTCATTTTAGATAGCCGGTTACCGGGCCCCCCAAACGTCGCCCTTTCGGCATGCTGGGTGGATCTGCTGAGGGCACCCTGCTCCGAAAGCAGCTGTGCAGCAGCCACGCTGACGGTGACAGCCGTGACAGACTTTGCTCAGGATGGGAACCGCGTCAGCCGCATCAGAGCTGAGCCAGTCGGCCAGAGGGATTTGCTTTGGAGGGCTTACACACCCAAGGATGTGAAGGTCGGGTCCTAAAATAACTTGGAAAATGTTTCAAATTTAAATGGGAAGTTTAGTATTGCAAAAACGACAATAAACCTTAACCATATAAACATTTGGGGACTGCTGTAATCAGAATAAACCAAAACAGCCTCTGTATAATCCAAGAAAATGAATATGTAAAGCCTTTTGCTTTAACAGATTTAGGTTTGATTATTAGTCAGCACATCAGTAAGGCCAACAGCTGGATTACAGATGACACCAGGTGTGCTTGTGTATGTTGAGAGAGGAGAGAGGGAGAACTCGGGTTAGGGAGATAGCACCTTTTCAAGCAGGAGGGGAAACTGAGGGTTTGGAGACCAGTTTCTGAAAAAGCAGAGAGGAAAGGCAGTGCCTCAGTAACGACAAAGGAGGACTAGGACTCAGCATTACCCTGTTCAATTTGTGACTGTGCCAGGAATCACCAGGACCCCTCCGATGACAAAGGCAGCAGCTCCATCTCTTCATTTATCCCTGTACAAAATGTCCAAAATAAAAATAATAAGAATCAATCAAGGGAGCAAGCCGTGCTGTCCCTGCAGAAAGCCTGGCCAAAGGAGCGTGGTGAGCAGGGACCAGCCCGTTGTCTGTGAAGCTGGGTCAGGTACATGGCTGGGAGGTTTGAGAGCTGTAATCCCACCGCCCGAGAGAATGAACCAGAGTGTGGATTTGACTCAGCTAAATTTCTCAGGGCAGTGGCACATCCAAGCTGGTATATTTTAAGTAACCAAGAACAAATCCCCAATGAAATCTATAATTTCACTGCCCTGATTTTTTGTGGATTTGCTCATGAGAGAATGAGATTAAATTGGACCAAAATAATTTTTGTCTTCAAAGGCAAAATGTCTGGCATGTGATATATCCTTTCCTCACCAGCACAGGCTTCTTCTAAGCTTTTTAAGGTTCTTAAATCAGAATTTGCCGCTAATTCAGTGTAGTGCGCTCACATATCCATATTTTTTCTTGAAGTTACAAACGCTTCCATTAAAACACGAAAATGTAGCAAGTGTGAAATTGAATTAATCAATTTTAATAATGAATGCCATCTATCTCAGTTAAAACTTGATCTATGGAAACATATTAGCCACTACCTTCTCTTCCCCCCACCCCCCCCGCCCCATTTTCCCATTGCTGCTTTGCAGTTAACTAGAGGTGTTAATGCAACATCGTTCCTGTAACATGTCAAGAAAAAATCCATATATTAAAATTCATGTAGTCTTTAGTCCTTCAGACTTGTTCAAATATTTTTGATTTATCTGAAAATTGAACGGAAATGGTGGGCATAACGTCCTGACACATTGAGACATCTGATAAAGTGGATTTCTTCAGCAAATTAAGACTGCCTGCAACAAGGACTTGCATCGTCTGCTGGTTTCATGCAAGAAGCGAGCAGAGCAGAAAGGGCCATCTGGATTTATTTGTGCAAACATTTTACTTAGGAAGGTTGCAGCCGTGGAGAAAATGGGAAAAGTCTGAGATATTTCCTTATATCACACTGTAGAAATAAATGATACAATTGACCTCAGATCAAAATGCTGTTCAAAGCAGTGTTCAGTTTTTCATTCCTCAAGACCATCATTCTAAACATTTTGGGATGCTAGACACCGGTGGGTGTCTAAGCAGTGTCTCTGTGTGATGGTTAAGTGGCATTTTGAAATACAGAAGATGTATTGCCACAGGTAAGGAATTTTGTCAAGAAGTGTGGTTCTGCCTTCACCCTCTTATTCATTTATTTAATTTTGCCACTGTTCCTAAAAGCTAAGTTCTGTTTTGTCACTGAAAGACTGCACAAGGATATAGTGGCCATTCTTCTTCCCCGCTCTGCGGATCGTGGCAGAACTAACTGAATTGCACCTCTGGACTTCTCATGGGCAAAGAGTGAGCAAAGAATTAACAGCCCTGGCCAAGAAATCAGCCTGGCAGGCTGGATCTGGGAAAATCACAACACTTCATCACTCCCACCAGAATGACTGGGAGCTCTTTGTATTGCGAATCCCTACACAACCAGTCTTGCATTTCTGAGAACTGGATAGCAGAGTATGAAAAAGCAGCATCTTGAGCAGATGTGGCAGTGCAGACCCAGCACTGCCCAAGATTCAGGTATTGCACTTTCGAAGGCAGATGTCCTGCCTCTGGCTTTTGCAGGCATATCTGCTCCTTGCAGGGCACCAGGACCACCCAACCTCATCTGTGACCCAGCTTGCACCCACGTAACCAAGAGCTGGTGCAGCTGCAGATCTCTGTTGCTATAGCAGATCCTTTCCTCTTTTATTCCCGTGCTGCAAGCAGACAGCTCCAGCAACCTGATTTGGGGTCTCGTCACCAGTACCCGATCAATAACCTGCACATCAAATATGTAAATCAGCTATTCAGATGCTGTATCAGGAACTCAAAGGTCAAATCAGGGGACAGGCAGTGACTACTACTAAAACATGCTAATGCTACTTAATTACAGCATACCTTCTACCATACTTCAGGCATTAAAATCAGTACAATTTAATGAGCACTCTACTCTCTTGATAATTTCAGTAAATGATCTACTTCTTAGCAAAAAAGTTTAACAAAAAAGCTTCACTTTTTACCAGATAAAGAAAGACAGGGCATCACATCAGGTGGGACAGGAACACTTTGAACTCCCTTATTGTATGTGATTAAATTCCATTGTTTGAAAGCGAAGCCTATTTGGTACCCATTCGCAATCGCGGTTTAGAAGTCAGGTTTTAGTTTGTACTTGACACATGAATCCTGCCCCTAATGTTTTGTGAGGAACAGTAATGAAGAAAAACTGCTGCGTAGACTGTATTCATTACACATTTCATTTTAACTAGGTCACAGTTCGAGACCTCCCAACAGGGAACTGCTACTCTTTCACTGATCCACACATTATCACATTTGATGGATGGTGAGTATTCTACTTTGAAATAATTTGGCTCAATTACTGCAGTTTTCAGTTTCTGGATGTAGCATGCATTTGGTTTTACATTAGAATATCAAAAGAGCGTTGTACTAGTTTGCTTATAGTGATTAATGTAGTGCTTCCATAACATATGGTTTCCTTCCAGCTGTTTATGCCCCTTTTAACAAAAGGACTAGAAATGGATTAATTTTGAAGTGGCAATGGTTTTGAGTCTGAATAATTTTTACAAGACACAGGTCAGATCCCAAAGTGTTCTTCAAACAGAACTCTCGTTAATGACTATGGCCATACTGTCTCAGATAAAGGAAGTCCAGAAATTTTAAATTGCAGATACCAGGGAATTTAAAGAGTGCAAAAATAAGGTTGTACATCCTCCCTTACTGTCCAGATCTCCTGTATTATCCAATGACAAGTTGCTTATAGACCTACTGAGCCAAAGGTGGTATCTTTGTGTTTGACAACCCGTACTGTACAGAGCTTTTCTGCAGAGAACTTCCCTAACCATTCCTTCATCTGTTTACCCCAACTATTTAACATAACAGAAAGTTTTTAAAGTTTATATCTGGCACATTTGATTCAAAGTAACTAACATTTCAGATCACATTCTAGGTTTGTCATTCTGCCGTTAACCTCCTCATGGCACAGATAATGACTTTAGATGCACAGCGTCCACAGAGGCTTGGCGGGTGTGATATTCTAATTTTGATATCCTAATGTCCCAATTTCAGTCCAGCATCTGAAATGACATCAAAGCTGGAGAAATCTGTAATTATTTCAGCTCTGGGATATTAAACTAGATTACAATATTATTTCAGAACTCTCTATACATTTACATTCTAAAATATTCCCTTCTGATTCAGGGGTAAGAATGGACAGTGATCTGCCAGGTTGTTGTGTTTAGGAAGTCATAAATTACTGAAAAGAGCCTCTTGGAATGGGGGAACACTCTCAGCCATGTATCACTTTTTTACATTGCTTCCACAGGAAAAAAAAAAAAAAAATCTAAAATAAGGTTCACAGCCTTGAAAAAGAAAAATCCCAGGATTATCTTGGCCCCTAATAACTGCATGTTTCTTCCTTGTGGATGGATTCATTACTTCTCTGTCCAGTGTAGCTTTAAACGAGCCAAGCTGATGGGGCTTCTGCCATCTCAATAACTAGGTTGTTTCACTAACATATATCACTTCTTGATATTCAGCCAAGTTTCTTACCCATCATTTCACGGTTCCATTACTCCTACTTATATTCCCATTTATTATTGTAAATAATTTCTCTTTCAATTACAGTAATGATTATGCCACCCTATTACACATCAGTTAAGCAACTACTCTGTCTGCCTATCCAAAAAAAAATGTTAACACATTACCAAATGATTTTAAAGCTCTGTGTTTAAGGAGTGGGGAATGCAATTCCTGCTTCTATACAAACCTACAGCCTAAAGACTTATAGTGATCTGTAGACACAGGCTCAGGTGAGAACATTACACAGGAAAGAAAAGAAACATGCAGAATTAGTCAAAGAGAACTGAAGGAAATAGCAGCCTTTACCCACTTCTATCTGGCTACAAAGATGGCAGCAAACAAAGCTGAATAAAGAACCAAAACTGCTTCTGAAATCAACAGAACATCCATCAAACAACATAACTCAAGGAAATCCATTTGTTCCACCACAAAGCCTGTAGGTCAGCTTACCAGGAGGCAGCAGACAAGACCAAAATGTTGTAGGCAGCGCTGCTGTGGATGGGTGGTGATCCGTTGTCTCTTTGGCACTCCTTCCACCCACTCGAGTCCTGGGGATGGCTCGCTGAACAACTGTCACATGAAAAGCAAAGGAAAGCCTGAAGATGAGGAACATTGCCAACAGCAAAACAGTAGGAGTGTTTGCTACACAAACGGGCATGCACGTAAACATACTCCTGCCTTTCACAAAGTTGCTTTTTACTTTCCCATTAGCAATGGGGAAGGGAAGGAAAAATACACAACAGAGAAGAGTGAGGATGAAATCAGACATATAAAAATAGAAAACTGCAACATTTCTTTGGTTTCCAAAATTTAAATGAAATGCATTAAAAATTTAACTTAATTTAAAAATATTTTTTCAAATAATTTCTTTAGTAGATTTGTTGGAAAATTGAAAAAATGGTGTGAAAATCAAAAGACTGGAAGATTATTTGGTTTTGGTAGTAAAATTTTCATACTGAGAAGGTCACTTCCAATGTATAGGTTGTTCCATGAGGTTTCACAATAATACTTCATTTTGTAACTTCTGTAGTGATGTTTTCAATGATTTTTAATCTGACATACCAAGCTTACATTACATCTGAGGTACTTAGCTATTCATTAGATAACTGAAATACCTAACTCCCACTTCTAATGATAACACTCCCCTTTGGCATGCCTCCTGCTATTACATTTCTGTAGAAATATTTATCTTACAATCTCTTAATTCTTTTGACCAAAGGAAGTGACTGGAAATCAAAGAAGAATGTGTCGTATTTTACAGTGTAAGCACAATCAATTTGTGTATATTCGAGCATAGATGTGGAATAGCGTTAATTATACCAGCTGAATCCAGAGAGAGCACTTCCTTTTATAGCGAAGTACCTTCTAAATTAAACAAATGTGAAAGCCTGGTAAAGCAAAAGTATAGCCCTCATTACTAGTTATGGTGCATTATAAATATAAAAGCTTTTCATGCCATAAATTGTAGGTTCTTAAATATGAAGTACTAGCTTAAAACTAAATATGCAGAAAATTCTTTTAAGGTAAAATATAAAAAGGGAAATATTTCTTGATTGGTGAACTATATATACCATTCATGTTATTTTGCATTTTCCCTTAAAAAAAAGGAAAAATATTTTTCAGGTTTCTCAAACATTTACCCTAACCCTCCATCAATATTATCGCTCAGGCAAGAACATAATTTCCTGCACAATGACAAAATCCCTCAGCTTGCACAGCTTCACACTTGTCGTTGGTTTTAATGGCATTCATCAGAGCAGCCCACAAGTGAGTCCTGGGCATCAGTAGCCCTCCCAGATGTGCTGGGTTTTTTTTATAGTCTATAGAAGTTTATATGTCCCCAAGCATCCCGTAACTGCTGAACATAACCCAATAGCTTTGCTCTCTGCGAACATAGCCAGTACCTAGTGAGGAGCACTCTGAAAGCAGAGGGCATCCTCCAGCATCACTCAGCACTTCCTAGGGTCACAACCAGCCCAAAATAGTTCTTACTAGCAAGGAAAGAGGGAGCCCAGAGGGATGTGTCCACAAATCAAATAATTTGGTGGTAAAATTATGGTGGAAAATCTTCAGGAGCAGCAACAATAATAACCGCATTACTAAAAAGATGGAAGTGTAGCTTGGTGAAGAGCAAGTGTATCGTGTTAGTTAACCTAACGCTACTAGTAGTAATTGGTTTTGTGTATTTATATTCCCTTCTGTCCCTCTCTTACTGTGAACCAACAGAAATGATTCCAATAGCATCTTTAAGGTCCCTTCCAACCCTAACCATTGTATGATTCTATGATTCTATGATCCGACTGTCATAACCAAAGACTTTGTAGCATTTTAGAATTCCTGGATTAAGCGCACAACTTGAGTCATGACTTCATGTTGGGACAAGAACTTGGTGCGTTCCTTGAAAAACAACTCAACCACATGGATGGGGGGGGAGGGAACCACTTTCCACCCAATCCATCCATTGCTGCAGACCGTTCAGGCAGCAGGATGTGGAAGTGCTCTGTGGAGGGCGATTTAGACACAAGCAGTGTCACAACGGATATGCAGAGCTCCCTCATGCAAGAGCTCCAGTAACTCTACTTCATGCTTTTAGCACCGCAATGCTGCAATTTGATTTCTCAAATGTTGGCCAAAGAATCAAATTATCACAATTACAGTTGTACAAACATCACAAGTTTACGTGACTATGTTCAATTATCCATTCAAGTAATTCAAAGGCAGCTGAAAGCTCCAATTTAGACATGTTGCAGATTCGTTATGTGCTATGCAATCTATGCCATGACTCAATTGAAAGACTCTAAGTGGCTTCCAGAAGAGTTGGATGGGGTCCACTCTCAGTGCTTATTAAGCAGTAAATAGCCCACATAACTCCAATTATATTTGTGTATGCTAACACAGTCTTATTTACCAGATACAGCTGAAGAGTCTGGGTACAGCCATTCTGATAGATTATTTTCCATCAATCTCTCTAAACCCCTTTTCTTGTAAGCTCCCCCTGTTGAAGGAACCTGTGGAAGGTAATTCTCATAAAACATCCTGTCTCCTCTGTCTCTCCTGTGAAGACATCCAAATGCTGCTAATGCTTGATGTTGAAAGAGATTATCTGGTTTTTACGTCGTCCTTAGTTCTAATCAATCTTAGCAACAGCATCTGCACAGTGGAGTTAGGATTTATGTACCTGATTAGAAAATAAGATGAGACAGAGCCATTCAAAATCTTATCATTTTATGGCCAACTTCACTAAGTTTTTCAAGATGAAAGATAAAGTCAGATGTGTTTTCTAGCAGAGAAAAGCAGTTGGATATAAATTCTTACTGTGTTTTAAGCTTCATACCTTTCTACGGCTCTTATTCTGAAGAGAAATAAAATGAAGATATACACATGCTAAAAAAATCTTGGTTCTCTAGCTCTTTGTTCCTCTGTATAGGAAACATTAACAAAATGTAAAAGTATTGATTTTTGTATGACAGTGCTTAAAAACAATCCTTGCATTTATTTGAGGTATTTTATAGGTTCCTTTTATATTTTTTTTATTGTAGAAAAGAATAAGGCTTATTAATATCAGTTTATAGCTTAGTTTTAATAATATTTAATTTCATAAAAAGCATGTTTAAAACTAAATGCAGTGCCTTAAAAGGAGGCAGAAGAATCCATCAGTTTTAAAGACAGCAGCTGTTGGCTTGTGTGAAGATAACTCCAGCAACTATATATAAAGTACGCAGCTGCTGTTCTCTTTACTTTTATACACCACATTAGAATAAAATAGAGCAAGAATGAGACAAACTTACGGAGTGAGAAAACAGAGAGGCACAAGTAGAGGAGGACCCTAATGCAGGTCTTTGTTTCGAAACCCAACGGGCTGCAGGCAGGAGGAGTTTTACCTGGCTTGTGCTGAGGGCAAGCGCCTGCAAAGTTATTCTGCTCCTGGCCTCACTCGCATGGAATAAGGCTTCCTGTACAGAGAAGAATGAACATCCTAAAGTGTTCAGCGCACCGCAACGTGCTGATTGACAATCCGTTTAGAGTGAAAGTCGTACTTACAGTGAAGTTATTGAGGGGGGACCCAACTCCAATTGAGCAGGTTTTCAGCAGAATTCCAGTTTTTCATACGAAGTATTCACGTAGCCACAGTCAGCCTTGTAAAAGTTAGTGATTAGTCATGGTGGAGGTTATTTGAGCACTGATTTTGCTTTGAAGAATATCATGCTGTAAAGCATCTGGTTAGAACCAAAACATATTTATTAAGGCCTGGAGGCAGGGACTTTTTCCCATTTGCTTTTATCAAATGTTTATCCTTTATATCCATGCCCGTTGCCATAGCAGCAGCTGGGAGACAGCTACCCACTTTTCACATGAATTCTTATGCACTTCCACCTAACAACTGCGACGGCGTTCCCTTCCTTACGGTGCCAGGGAAACGCTTCCCCGCGTGTTGATTTTTCCTTCCTTCAAGGCCAGCCACCATGCTGGTGTAATTAAAGAGCACCGTTGTACAAGTACCAACAACCAGCCATCACAGGTTGATTCTCCGGGCTCTAAATCCTCTTTTTGGTTTCCTGCTGTTTAGGCGGTACGATAACTATAAAATCGGTACCTTCCTTTTGTGCCGGAGCACGTCACGGGTGTTTGAAGTCCATGTCCGGCAGTGGGATTGTGGAGGCCACCGCTCTGCCACCGCCTGCAATTGCGGCGTGGCTGCACGAGAAGGCGGTGACACCGTGGTGCTGGACACCTGCAATGGCCATTTTCGGGAGAGCAGACCCCAGCTGGCCGTCAAAAGCACCGAAGCATCGCCACAGGTCAAAATCCTCAAGTCCTACGGAGGGAGAAAAATAACAGTATGTGGATCTTTGAGTACTCTTGTTGTTGTTCTTTAAAAATGTGGGTTTAATATTTCTGAATTATTAATGAAGTTGCTACAAAAATATCTATCTGAAGCCATTAGAGCACCCGCAGCAAAATGCACCGAAAAAATGGGATGCGGGGAAGGAGCTGGTTAAAGTGTTAGTTTAACAAACTGCAAAACAAAACAAAAATCTCTGGAAATTTCTGGGAGACATAACAGAGTGCCAATGTAGTTACTCTCTGCAGTACTGTGCTCTCCGTTTGTTTATGCTAGGCACTGCTCAACTGCACCACATAAAGTAAATTTCTTTGCAGAGCTTGCGATATAAATATTCAAAGGAAGATCACAGGTAGCAGAATAATGTAGTTTTTAGAGTGGAACAGTAAGGCAATATGAGTCAGATCCAGATAGCCCCCAAAAGCCATGAAAATGTGCTGCAAATGTGCAGCATTTGGTATAGCTTAAAGTATTTGCCTAAAAAATACATGGCCACAACATTCTTCGCATTAGTATCACTTATCCACACTGATCCAGTGAAATCACCGGAAAAATAAGAACAGGTTGCACCAGGGGCGTTGGTGAGGAGAAGAGCCACAAATTACAGCCAAGAAGATAATTTTATCCTAGAATGGTATCATCAACATTTATTGCCAGGCGATGTTTTGGGTGAAGATAGGTCCACAATAGAGCCAGAACAATGCGGGGAGTGCCTGTGCTTGGCTCTTCTCATGATCTGGCTTAGAACAGACCTTGGTAAGGTAGTAATTGAAAGTCTGTTAACTATAGAATGGAGAAAAAGCGGGAAGCAAGCTGTCATTTCATTTTGCAAATGAATGCAATATAATTACTGTTTTATTACCAGAATAATCCTAGCAAGGAATCCCTATTAACATTTACACCTCCTGTAAGACTCAGTGAAACAAATTAGGACACCCCTGAGACATGGATATGAAGCCTGCCCTGATCTGAACGGGAATCTGTAGGAATTGTGCAGCAATGAACGCAGTCCCTGATCGTGGCATGGTGCACAGCACATCCCCATTTGCTCAGCAGTTGCCCATCGCCAACCTTGCCCAGTGCAGAAGCCGGCTCCCCCGCGGCTCCCGTGCCGCTCAAGGCTGATGCTTTGAATAGAGTTAAGTCACTGTCTTTTCTGTGCAAGGGAACAGCTTCCAGTAGCCAGTCACTATATATCCCTGCAAGCTGAGGACTCAAAAAAGCTTCTTCAAAGTCTCAATCTGCAGTGCTGAAAACAGAAAACCTGGGCAGTTGTTATGTCCTCAGTGGCAGATGGGATGCTTTGCCCAGGGCAGCGGGAAAATAAAAGGTTACAGCACTCCCAATTCTTGACACAAATCCACACCTGGAAATATTAATCCAGGTAGCACAGAAAAATTAAGCAGCTCATGCAGTCCTGACGGCAAGGATTTTATACACAGTCGTGTAAGAAATGCTGCTCCCTGTAGTAAGGTGTGTAATTAGAGGGCACGTGTTTATCTGAACAAGGAAATCAAATCCTACCCTGCACTGTGTCAACTGCAGTTCTTCTGCTCTACCTGTTAATCTACGAAAGAAAAAAAAACAACTTCATCAGGCTTTGAGCTTTATGTTGGGGAATTTTTTTTTTTTTAAACTTACCTTGGGAAGTGAGACATAGCGAAGTACAGCCAAGGTAGAGGTTCAGCCAAGGCTTTCTGATGTATTCAGAGAACTGGTTTTATATGATGACATTCCATTATTCAACAAGGCCAATAAATTTTTTAAAAAGGACGCTTTCAATGTCCTGATCAAAACACAGAGGGCCTGAGTTCAAAACATACTGTCCCCAGCTGTTTTTTCAATCAGTGGCACTTTGCTGCTCTGCTCAGCTGGATGAGGAGATCACTGACCGAGAGCTCCTCAAAAAGTATTCTCATGCCTGAAATGATGACTGGGAAGCTAAAATGGGCAAGATTATGATTTAGTGCAGACAAAATGTAAGCTTTGGATTCCAGCACACAAATACAAATATAAGCTAGTTGCTTCTTCACAGATATGAAAAGATTTGGTGGGGAGAAACTTGCATGGGACCAAAAAATCCCCAATGAAAGAAAGAAAAGCAATGGACATTATTTGGCTGAATAAATTATACTTAGGCAGGGGTGACTTAAAAAAAGGAAAACAATTATTTTGAAATTATTGTAATTAGATGTTTCCAGCTACTTAAGGTACTTTTTAAGATTAACAGAAAACATTTAATTTTGGATCAAAAAAGAAAATTAAGGTTACTTACCACAATAGAGTGCTCCTGCTCCCACTCCTGGCACAGATCAGTTTCTAAATATTTTTTTTTTACCTGTAAAAATAAAGAAAATAGACAAAAATACATTTCACTTGAACAGATTGTTTCTTTTTTTGCTATTATTATTTGATTGGGACACCAATCTGAAAAATCCATTATCCGCACAGTTACTTCTTTGTCTTAACCTCAAGATTTTTTTTTTCTTTTAAAGGTCAGTGTAAGCCTACCACAAGTTCTTTAATGAGAAAATTGCTTTATCCACTTTAAAACACTATCATTTTCTGGGTAATCCGGCCTTGGAAAATGAAAC